AACATAACGTTGTATGGATGAACTTGGGAGTTGTTTCCCGTTGAGTATTTTACATATATAAGTAGGTACGCAAATGCAGTGGCAGATACGTTTTTAGAAGTACAGTAGAGCTGTTGGGTCAAAGGATATTTGCACACTATATTTTAATAACTATTTCAAAGTTGCAGTTCCAGTTTGGACACCTACCCTGCTCTGCCACTGTGCAGCTCGGCTACTCACTGTAAGTGCTGGCATGCGGCTGCCCACACCATACAGCTGCTGGAAGAGGTAACTGAAAACATTTTGTGAGCAGCTAATGACATCCAGGTGATGGCTGTAATGGTTCTCCCTCCTCAACTCTAGCCCTTCACAGCCCTCTCAGCCAGATCTTTCTCCTCAATAAAGAACTTGATAAAGCCAAAATGAGTGATGCTTCAGACCCCCGTACACACACACATACAGGTGCACTAGAAAAAGAAGGGACGTGGATCGCAGGTCCTTGGGCTTCAATGTGGTGGGGGACAGTGACATCCAAGGGGCTCGCTGTGGCCACTGATACCTCATCCGAGCCGTGTCTGCTAACTTCACCCCTCCCCAGAACTACTGCATTATATTTGGGCTGAGACTTACACTTCCATAAAATATTTTTTATATCTTCAAGGAGGAAGTAAGCCCTTAATTGGCTCTTTTTACTCATGAGTCTCATTTATTCTAAGGTACTCCTCCTAATTTATGATTTTTATATTGAGGGAACACTAAAAATATTTCTTCGTGCCATTGTACAGAGAAAGTAGGTCATGCATTTAATGTTAGGCAAGAAAGTGCCCTGGCGTAAGTATTTGCTCAGCCTTCTACAACCTGAGATTAAGAATGACTCAACCATATAATGAACCAGACAAAGCATTATGTCTAATGAGCTCCAGAGCCTGAAGGCAGAAACCCAGTAAGAGCTGAAAGTCCCATTTTGTTGCCAACAACAAATATCAACCAGTGCTCACTCAGTGATGATTGTCCGGGGAAAAACCAAGCAGAAACAAAGGGGCTTCAAAATTGAAACACCATCAACGCAATCGTCTCTCTCTGATGCTTTATTGCTAAGAGGGTAATTCTTTCTGTGTAGTCAGAGTTTACGGAAAAGCCCTTGCGGGTAATTCACCAGCAACTGGGAAGTAAATCTTAATGTCTATTATGGCTTAGGAAAGAATGCCCTCTGACTCACTGTTCAGGTGCTCATACTGAATTGCCTGGGTTTAGAAGTCTCATTGCTTTTCCACCTAAGGCTTCGCGAATGCTTTGAATCACCTGTAGTGACAGAGGGATCTGTATTTATTTACACAGATATAAAACAATAAAATGTATAAAAAGTGTATTGTTACAGGACACAGCATCCTTCATGCCCTCCTGGTCCTCATTTTCTCCAGGGACAAGCTGGCAGTGTGTGTGCTTTTGTTGTGTCCATTGCTTCGCACTGTGCGCTGCTATCCACATGCTTGTCTTAATTTGCTTTCCGATGACCTCACACAATGAGGGATGAGGGAAGGCTGTATGAGTGAGTTAGGCCTTTGGCCGCTGGAGTAGACATGGGAAACTGAGTGGGTAGATGAGTCCACAGCAGGGTGTGTGAGCACAAGAACCCCCAGGCAGAAGGCAGGCAGGCAGGAGAGACCCAGCACCCCACCTCCTAGGCAGCCAGTGTGTGCACGAGAGATGGAGGGCCTAAGCCTGGCTTCCCTGCCATGCAGAGCCTGCTTGCTGCTGGGACAGCACCCTGGGAGAAGCTGCTATGTAGGGAAGGGACTCAGCAGAGTGAAACATCTGGGAAGGAGGAAGGAAGAAGACCAGGAAATCCTGTCAGGCTGAGGTTTAAAGCTGAGGACAGGAGGCAGAGGTGGACACCAGCTATTTCTGGGACACTGAAGCCCTGGCTTCCAGCATAGCTGTGGCCTCCCTTGTCGTTCTGTGCCTGGCTTGTTTAACTTAATATAATGTCCTCTGGTTCCATCCATTTTGCTGCATGTGACAGGCGTTCACTCTTCTTTATGGCTGAATAATACTCTATGGTATATAGATATAGATATAGATAGATAGATATCTATATATATATCTCACATTTTTAATCCACTCAGCAGCTGATAGGGATGTGTACCTTTTCCTCCTCTTATTTGCTAGGACAGTGCCATCTAGGCTCCATGGAGTTCCCTCTCACTCCCACTCAGAAACAAATGCTGGAAGAGCTTTGTTTTTTAGAAACATTCTGATACTATCATGGATGCTAAATAATCCTCTCTTGTTGACTGATGTACCTTACCTGGAGCAGGGGGATACTTTTTTTTTTTTTGTCTTTTTGAGACAGGGTTTTGCTATGCAGTTCAGCCTGGCCTTGGACTCACTTTGTAACACAGGTTGACCTCGAACTCACAGTGATCCTCCAGTCCCAGCCTCCTAAATGCTGGGATTACAGACTGAGCCACCATACCTGGCCAGGTGTAGTTACTTTGTGAAGACCGGATTGTCTTCCAGCACCCTTTACTTTGTGTATCTTCCCAGGAGCACACAAGGAGACATCTCAATAGAGCATTGATTCTAAAACAGCTGCAAATTAGGTCATTTCTGGTGCTTCAGTTGGGCCAACCAGATCAATAAGACCAGAGTTATCTTTGGCATATGTTCCCTTCATTTTTAGGCTCCTCGAGGGGTTTTGTATAATCTGGTACCTATTAGTAATCTGGTGCATATGGGGTAAAATGACATGGGCCGAGTGGTTTTCATTGAGCTCACCTTGTTCTGGTGGAGTTTAGAAGTAGGTGGCCCCACCAAGCTAGTTTTTAATAATAACTCGAGTGTCATTTGGGTTAGAATGAATTCAAGTGAAGAAAGACCAGTTGTAGAAAATACTGGTATTCCTCCGTGTCCAATTTGAAAATGGCTGTGTACTCCCCACCCACTTTTGTCAGAGACTGAGGAACAAGAGACAAGAAATCTTAATGATTCTGGGCTTTGGAGTCATACCGGCTTGGATTTGTACCTCTGCTCTGTAATTGTGTGACCTCACCTGCTAAACTCTGAGTTTATTTTCTCATCTGTAAAATGAGGGTAATGCAATCTACCTCATCAGATTAAGGTCAGGATTAAGTGAGATAAGTCATGGAGGCACACAACACTGTGCTTTTATTGTGATTGTTAACAATGGAAGCCACTTCACAAGTTTAAACTTAGATTTCCCAATGTTTGAGTGAGCAACAAACTAGAAGTTGGCTACTTTGGACCCATAACCTAGTGATGAGAACCTCTGAATGAGAATAAACCAGAGTGTTAATGTCATAGCTGCCACGTGTTGTTAACAGTGCAAATATGGAGAGCTGAGCTCAAACCAGTGAATCAGACCACACAAGAATGACAAGAGGGGCTGGGGATTTAGCTCAGCGGCAAAAGCGCCTGCCTGGCAAGCGCAAGGTCATGAGTTCGGTTCCCGGTACCGGAGAAAAACCA